CCCCCCCATCCCCCCCCCCCCCCCCCTGCCCAAACAATGTTCCACATAATATGGCAAACATGTCTGTATCCTCTGTCAATGGTAATATGGTATTACGATAATTTGTATTCTACCAATTGTATTCGTTAATACAAATAATACACTTGATACAATTATATTCGATGATACAAATCAATTGTATTCGTGATCTTGATACAATGAATACAACATGTATTCATCCCCCACCCCCCTCTTCCATATCTTGCTCACCTCCTTCCCCCAATCTCGCTCGCCCTCTCTCCTCCTTATGACATGTAGCTAAATACAATAATTTTTTATACAATTATATTCATTGATACAAATCAAGTGTATCAATTGTGTTCGTGATACGACCTAATACAACATGTATTCAACCTCTTTCTCACCTCTCCCCTACCTCTTCACAATCTCGCTCGCCTGTCTCCCCTTTCTAACATGTAGTTTTTTTATGACCGTGGTGTCCTGACCAACTTTCATGCACCTCGACTAATTCCACGGATACCTATCACCTCTCACCAACAACATGTACCATGTAACTCTGTCCAATAGACGGGAAGAATCACCTAGTGTTTTATTTTGTCTCCACTGAGTATTGAACCCGAGACATCAGAGTTCTAAACCACTTCATAGACTACTAGGCCACACCCTTGGGTGCAAAAAGTCTGCATCAAGCAAGAATTCAACTCAAAACCTTCAAGCAATTATGAGCTCTCTTAACTATAGCTATAGATCTCTATTTTATCCCTTAATATTATCACGTGTCTAATTTAATTTTATTCTTCTCTTTTGGTTAGAGTTTTAGAGATAAAATTTAAATTGTCTAAAGAGTTTTGACTTGCTCCCAGCTTTTCATATATAAATGACTATTATTATTTCGGGGGAAAAGGTACAAGTACCCCCCCCCCCGAACCCATTTGTTTTGTAATTTTGTACACCTTTTTGGCTTACGTGGCATCCAAATAACTCTCACGCGCCTCAATTGCGTGGAGTCACGGAGTGTGCCACGTAAGCCCAATGGTGTACAAAATTACAAAAAAAAAAAAGAGTCCAGGACCTTAGTTTAGTTAAGGTGTGTCGCTGGGATTACGGTCATAGTCTAAGGGGGTACTTGTGCCTTATCCCTTATTTCGGAGACACTTCAAAAACTCGTGAAAGTTTGATTAGGATATAAATTGTATCTTATTCTCTTTCTACTTCCTCATTTCTTCCTTCTGTTTCCCTCTGCCCCTCTTTCTATCTCACCTCTCTGTTTCTCTCTGTCCTCTTTCTTATTCTCTCTCTTTTCTCGCTCAGGCCCACTAAAACGTACATACAGAAACATTAAACCATCAAAAAACATTCACCAACGAAATAAAAAAAGGACTGATTCTCACATTAACGTGTGTGATATAGTGGCATATGGCACATTTAACTGATGGAGCTCCGCATGGATACATCAGCATAGTACGACAGTTTCCACAGTTGACATGAGCAAATTGATTAGGACCTGAAGATCAAGAGAAAATTATATTTGCTCCAGAAGTGCATAAAACCAAAACAAAGACAAATTAAGAAAATGAAGATACAGACACGAAACCTCGAGCAGAAATGACGCAACTAATTTAGCTCGCTAAATCCTGTTATTGTAGTAAATGATAAGAATTGCAAACTTTAAGTGCTAGTCACCTATGAATTCAATAAAAAGCACTATTTACATCTTTATAACAATTCTTCATATACAGTGTAACATTGGAACATCTATTCATTGATTACACACATACGAACACATATTTAAAAATACAGAAGACAGAACATATTTATAGTAATACACATTTCCTAAGCATATAGCAGTATGTTGTCTAGATTACTTGTCCAATATTATGTACATTAAACTTGTTTTGTTTTTTCAGTAGTTTTTTATACTAATAGATTTGATATCTTATAATTGTTTTCGGGAAGACATGTAAATCTTATAGATCTTCATTTCCTATTATTTTTAACTATCTTATGTAAAAAGAAAATATGTAGACCAACAATGTTATATGGAAGTGACGTTGGGCAGCTGAAGTCCAACACATCCACAAAATGAGTGTCACAAAAATGTGGATGCTAAGATGGAGGTTTTTTCAAACAAGAATGGACAAGATCTTAAACGACCAAATTAACGAAAAATTTTCTAGTAGGATACATCAAGGACAAAATAAAAGGTCTCTTGAAATGGTTTGATCATGTTTTATGTCGACCACCAGATGCACAAAACAATAGTAAGTGAAGGCGTTAAATGGGACGAGGTAGACCTAAAATCACTGGGAAATAAGTTGTCTCAATTCTCAAAGGATCTACAATCTCTTGGGAATTGGGATTCCTGCAAACTAAGTGAAAGATAGGGCACAATTAAAGAAAAGATTTATAGGCGATACCTATTAGTTGAATATATGTTTTAGTCATGTTAGCACTTTTATTTTACGTCCAATGTTTTTCCAAGGATTGTTTAGCCTTTCAGATATTCATACGTCACTAGAAAATATAATGGACTATTACTTTTTAATTTATTTTTGTTACTATTTTATTTTTGGATAATATTGTCTTGTGATGAGTTCATATGTTGTAACAATTCATATAGCCGACCTCAACGTGTTTAGGACTGAAGTATAATTATTGTTGTTGTAAAGAGAAAATATGCAAATATCCACAAATAAAAGCAATAAAACAAGGAGGGGGAACTGGTGAATGAAAGGAGTTAAGTGGTAGAAACTTCGACAAAGTCTACTTGTTGGAAAACGCTTATAAAGATTTGGTAGAGACAAGTACAACATATAAACCTCTAGTAACAGTTAATTGGGGAGAAGATGGACTGTGGACGTCAAGTAAAATAACCCCACACATGAGGTGTACGGAAGTATATCCGAGGATACTGAGAAGTGTATTTAATTTGCTCCCATTGTATGTTTTTATCTTTATCAGCATCAAATACAAGTTTATTTTATGTAGTGCACCCAATTAACTAGTTTCCAATAAACTGACTATTTAACATATGAAATATATTTTAGATCATGTAGTATACCCACTTAACTAGTTGTCAATAAACTAATATACTTACAATTGTTTGGTTTTTGTACCAGAAAAAATAACTCATTTTATTCACATACTAATTATATGGAGATTATAATCAATCCATTGTTTATTCGGTCAATAATGACAAAGTGACTGTTATGGGGTGAACAATAATGAAGGGATTGTTAAGCAGTGAATAATAATGTAGTAATTCTTATATGTTGAACAATAATACATGGAATTTATGAAGGGAGAACTTATTTTTAGCGCATGTTTGTCTTTAAGTAATTTTACCCTCGTATTGCTAATACATATTCTATCCTGTGTAAAACATATTCTTTTTCTATATTCTATCATGTGTAAAATAAGCAAAGATTCCTGCACAACTTAATGCAGATATTATTTAATACTGTCAACTAAACGTAGCATTAGTTGTGTGTGAATTAGATATTCTTATAGGGCCAACCAAACGTTGCATTAGTTATGTTGGGATTATTTTCTTAATCTCTCCAACCAAACACCGTACTATTTTTATGTGAATTTTATGCTGAGATATTTTTCCTAATCCCTTAAACCAAACGACATTGAAGATATGAAAATAGATGTTGTAAAAGAAAAAACAAACGTTGGAAAAACTGAAGACAGGAAAGGAAAGTAAGAATATATGGAATACCATCCCTATTATATCCAACTGACATAATGGAGACAGGACACAGATGTTTCAAAGGGATTTCCACTCCAATTCAGAAACGGAAGACTTCATTGCATGCAGTCTTTATCTTTTTCTTTTTTTTTCCTTATGAAAGGGAAGATAATACCTTTTTGCTGTACTTCGCAAGTATGCTCTGGATACTAAATGCACAAAATTACTAACCTCATCAAAAAGAACTGTTAATTAGACTGTGATTTCATAATTTCTAAAGAGAAGAAGTCCCAATATTTGTACCTGGCACAAGGTTCACTGTATGACAGCAGGCGCATCTCACGCTAGTTGCCCCACGTGGATGCATCAATAAGGTGCGACAGCCTCCACATATCAGTTGAGCCATCTCCATTCCTGCATAGAGGGCAGAATTTAAGCAACATCAGAAGAATGGATAAGCTGAAGGCATACATAGTGCAGCGAACAGCAGTAGGATGTGTCATCTGGGACTGTTGGCAATTAGATGATAAAAGTTCCTCACGGTGATAATCAAATCAGTTTTTTTCTCCTTTCAGGATTCGTTGGGAAGGGATGCAATAATTTTTCAGAAGTGAAGATAGTGCTCCAAAGACAATGGCTGTTACCCATCCAATAATGTAGTGTAAGGAATTTTGCTTGATTGATGGAAAAAAGAGAAGGAAAGTTCATTGGTTAGGGAGAATTTTCTCCTATTCCAGTCCACAGGGATGGCTTGAGTGTTTGAGATATATGAGCAACAAACAACCTGGAAAATCATGGTCCAAATTCTAGCTACAACAATTGATGTACGTCTATCTCCAACCTTAGTAAGCAAGATCATCTGGAAGATGTCCTTGTGGGTTATAGGCTTATAACATGGTGCCTGATAGATAAAGTTGAGGTGCACTCAAACTAGAACAGATGCCACTGCCGTAAAATTTGAAAAAGGAAAAGCTCTCACTCAAAACTTTATTATAGGGAAGTACTTGTCAATAGCAAGTGTTGAAAAAAGAGATCTAATAAAAAAAAGTTAAACAACCACATTCTTCTCAACCTTGGTTTTAAAAAACGTGCAATAAAATTATTTTCCTTTCTTGCTTCACTTCACGTCATTTCTTTCAAGAAAGAAATTCTTTAACTACTTTCCCATTATCCAAATTGAGCCAAGAGAAAATATGTTCCCTCATAAAATTAATGGAAAGAACATAATGGAAAATGCATTTGCTGGACCAACAGAGGAAAGTTATAATAAGGGGAAAACAAATTATTTCAATTTTCCCTCAAATCTTATAGATCCCAATTGTTCTTCTCATTAACTAAGTTCCTAAAAGAATCACCAAACAATTGAAACTGACCTTTACCAGACCAAACCCATGGTTAAATTCTCCTAGCCAACCAAAACCAAATCAAACCCTAGGTTTAATAATTATCAATGTTTATCATTTGACAGATGTGCACCGATGAGATTCAACTTGTCCACAGTTAGAAGCTAATAAAACTGCCGCCTTTCAACCCCACCTACGTCATTTGTAGTTTCTATTTAATGGATGGTAACTACAAAGGCAAGATAAGGTAATACATCGTAATGTGTTGTGGACTTCATGGTGTTTGCTTGTACTATTAAATGGTGGATGCTGGTATCTTGTTAATTTTATGGCTTGATTATGATTTGAAAATTGATAGTGTGTGGATGGTATGACGTCAATTTCCTACATCATTTTTTTGTCTACTTCAGATTGTAATTAGTTTTCTGATCTTCTAATGGATAAGTTTTTTCCTCTGTAAATTCCACAGTTTTTAATGGTTCTCGTCTCTATAATTTGGGTCATCGATCAAGCAAATGAAAAGGAAGAGACCACTTGATAGGAAATGGTTAAAGCTTTGAAACATGTTCCAATGGAACAGGCTAAAAGCTTTGGGCCTGCATTTCAACCAATCTTCAGCCACTCAAAGCTGCTTTTGATAGGGTCATTTCATTCTCATAACAGAATTACTGCAGCGCAAGAACAGACAAGTTGCCTTTGCCTCGCTGACAAAAGAGGGTATTATTTAAGTCAAAGCAGGATAGAGGGCTGGGTCATACTCCAAAGCACTTGATCTGTGGACCGATATTGGACCAGGAGTTCTCAGTGATTAAAAAAATATTGTTTAAATTCTCTCTAAACACTAAGACCTAACTGTCTATATTCTATTCAATTAAGTCAATAAGCTTTAATTGGCAAAAAATGTTGTCCCTTCTTCATTGTAAAGTCATGTGTGTTTCTAACATATAATCCAGGTTAATTACAACCCTAATGTTGTGTTTAAAATATATTTGAAGTGTTAACAAAGCTACAGAGTGATGCTGGAATTATATATCTCATACGTAGCAAGGCTAGAATTTTTTTTGGATAAATTGAGAAGTGGTATCATGAATGAAATGGAAACGGGAAACTATAGCGAAGGGAGAAGTAGAGACTGTCCAAGCCACAAGCTCACCAGCTATGTTGCTCGGACTCTCACAAAATCTTGCCAAACCTGTGTCGGATGCTCCAAAAATGCACTACTTTTGAGGATCCGACATGCACCCAACAATATTGTCAACATGTTTAACAGTCTAAGCAACATAGCTCACCAGGCGAGGAGGATTTCTGGTGTCAAGGAAAGGTCTACCTGTTAACTTGCTTAGCGAGGAGAGAAAGAATCCAAGGAGGGCCTCACCTTTCCCATGTCAGGTGAGGAGAAATTTTGTGAAAGAAAATTCAGGAGCCAAAACATTGACAACCAGTAACAAGAAGCTAATGGTGAGATTTAGCAAGAAGCTAAACTTAGCTAAAAATTGGATTCTTGCAAGGAGAGGAAGTGACTAGAAACTGGCCTTCGCCAAAGAAAAGGGTCTTGCCCGGCGGGACTTCGGTGAGGGAAAAGATTGAGAATTCATTATGGGAACTCATTTATTGAAGCTTTGACAGATTTTTGAAGAGGAAGGGCTTCACCATTAATGCTACATCGAGGTACGGCATTAATTCATTTATGATAGATCTCGTCTATTTATTACATGTAACACTCATATGGATTAAAATTCACCAAAAACTCAAGGTTCATCAAGAACTTGAAAATTTCTAGGGTTTCTTCAAGAGGTAATTTCTTGCTTTTTTCCTTCCACTATGATAAATATATCATATAATGAAGATATTTAGAAGTTGGAAACACCATTTGAATTGTGGATTAAGTGAACTCTGGAAACAGGTATTCTTGAAAAGATAATATCCAGGGGAGAAAATAAATAAATAGTAAATCAGGGCTAGGGAATGAATTGAGTATCCCATTAACCCCAATGATTAGGAACTATCATATGGATCCACTCCTTCTAGTCGAGTGCCTTGCGGCGCCTTTAACGATGAGAGAAGGCGATACCGAAGAGAATAACTCAAGGGCACTGGCTACTCCATCAACTCAATTTCGTTGCGTAAGTGAGGATGCCAGTCATCATAGTCTGAACTTGAAATCTTTCGTAGGCTCATCTCGTCGATTGGCATTCTGATCCTGGTGATCATTTAAATATGAACTAACAGAATAATAGAAGAAGGAATATATGAACCCTACATGGGTGTTTTTATTTATTCCGCTGGCTGGATATTAGTTGAAATTTGAACCGGTCTTTGTAGATTAAATTGTGGTGGATGCTTGGACATCTTTTGGGTTTTATTGAAGAGCATAAACAAGGTAATTTAAGATGTACCTCCCTTTAAGGCATTTTATTAAAAATGCATGACTTCCAAATTCATGAAAAATGTTTGACCGGTTAGTATGAGTTTATAGGCGCAAGCGAGGCATAGTAACCATGCTTTGAGTGACTTATGCTAGCTTATATATTATGTACATTTTATACCTTATGCTGGCTAGAAATGACTTACGGAAAATAGCATTTATAACAAGTTTCTACATGATTTGTGATTTCCTTATGAACATGATGAACATGTTTATGTTAAAGACTCGTGCTTGCATGCTTTACTTGATTTCAAATATGTGATTTATTTTCAAGTTCAAATATCTAAATTGAAGTTTTATATTACAACTAGTCTTAAATGACTCATGAGCTAAACATGCCAAAATTTGAATGATTACAGGACCTTAAAATGGTTACATGTTTAAGTTACATATTTAAGTTACATTAGAAACTGAGAGGGTATTCATTCCCTGAGGTGGAAACATTTATCTAGAAACTACTCATGCTATTCATGCCATTTTAAGGGTGGCTGCTCACATTATTCTAAAAGGAGGTATTTTTTGTGCTTGCACTTATCGTTGAACCAATACGACATTATGGTGAGACAGCCTTGAGACCGGGTGTCAGTCGTCCGTCATGATGTCCACATGGCATATATGCTATGACTGCCCAGTTAAAGAAATATTATGTTTAGTTATATTAGAATTTTATTAGTACAATTTTCAAATGTTTATTGCTTTCCATAAATGGATCTTTATGAAATGCTTTAAGTTATTTTGCTATTAATGCATTACCGTGTTTTAAAGTATCATTCAACCTTATCAGGAAGAGTAAAAAATATCTAGATGGTACAATTTACCTAGCTCCCACGGGCATTGTTGTTTTTGTAGTATGTTGCAAACACTGTGACAGCTGACGGTACGAGCTAGGTGTCATCTCTTTAGTTTTTCTATTTTGATGAACCTATCTCTATCATCTGTGGGAGCTAGTTTAGATCCTTATTCTTTTGTTGAGCAGTGACATGTCTCATGTCAAATGCTCATGTATATTCATAAAGGTTCCATGATACTTCCTATGAGAGGTACAGATGCATAAAAAGGGATTCATTATATTGCTTCCTCGTGTTCATGATGATGATTCAGTTTTATGTTATGTTTTGGCTATGTATCCTATCTTTGGTTTCCGCTGTGAAGAGGTTATTAAGCCATAAGTTTTAGTCATACATTTTCCAAATGTTCGTGTTATAGTTATGTAACTGTATGCATTGAAATAGGTAGAAAAGTCTGTGTGGTCTTCTTAGTGCAAGTTAACAGATGTGTGCCATACTCCTCCTTATTGGGGAGTGATATTTACATAAAAACCCTGAGATGGGTCTTTGCTAGAAGGAAAGAGAAGATAAGTGGTGCAGATTGTAAATCCATTGAAGTTTTCCTCCCTAAGTTCACATTCTTCTTCTCCCACTTTCTTGATGTAGAACTCAAAGAAGAGAAAAGAGGAATTTTCAGCAACATTACCCTATTCCTCTTGGGAAATAAGTGTTTAACTAAGGGGTTCGCCCCAGTCTCTAGTTTATGCATTTCTCTTTATGTTTGAACATCTTCCTTACTAACAAATCTCTTAGCATATTAGATTTCTTGTTTTCTGGCTAGTATTTTAAGAAACAAGTTAGCTCTCAATAAGGCATTAGCTTGAACTCCAAAAACACTGTTTTCTTTTTCCCTGGGTGAGAGAGGGGGAAAGACACAAGGGGATTCCACCACCAACTTCATCCACGAGCAATTATGCATGTCAGCTCGTATGATATTTTCTACCCATGTTTCTATAGAGAAGTTAATCAAATTCCAAAGATGAACTTATAGTTTTGAGATATCACTCTTTGTTCTTCTTTTCCCCGTTTTCATCATTGGCATTTGGCTAGCACCAACTATCACCACCAAATGAAACAGAAATTGAATAGTATCAAAAGAAAAGGCACAGACTCAGCCCAAGTGTCAAATAAACTTGTGTTGTGTACTTCTATCACAAATCATCGATAATAGAGCAGAAAGGACAGATACCAGGAGGCGGGACAGGGGTGAGGGCATTGCACACTGCACAACAGACATTAGTAGCTCCTCTGGGATAAAGAAGAATTGTCCTACACCCACTGCACACCAACTGACTCTGCATAGCTGCACTCCAAAATCAAAACCAAATATTCATACCAATCCTACAGTATAAAACAAATGCTTAACTCTCAAGCCCCCAAATTACACAAATCAAACAAAATTCATGAGCTGAACTGATTACAATAAGTAACTTTCAAATAATTTACTTCAATCTATGCCTAAAATATCAAGCACTATCAATCACCCATCCTTCAATACTTAGGGGTTCAAAAAATAAAAGAAATCCCAATCCATAAATTCATCAATACTCAGATTCTCAAACACCAAGCAAATAACCAAATTTCATCAACTAAAAAGTCAATTAAGCTTATTTATACATCAAATTTACCCTAATTTCCATATCCATAATTTGGATTCCATCACCTTCATAAGAAACTGATTTTCAAACATCGAAACAAATTAAAAACCAGAAATTAAAGAAAAGCAATTCTTACCAGTGTAGGTAGGATGAAACAAATTGGGTAATATACAGCAGAATTGGCGATTCCCAATATTCTGGAAAAACAATAGAAATATTGTAAGAATGACAATTTATAGATTTTCAGAATTTGGATTCGGTAATCTTATCGGAATTTCTCCTTTGTGTTTTTTTATTCTTATTATTACTACATCTTCTTCTCCGTTAAATAAATATTATTCAAAGGATGTGTTTTTGACTTTTTATGGGTTTTCAATCGGAAGCTTCTTTTCTTTTCCCCAAATCCATCCGGGTCGCCCCGTTTGCTTCATGGTTTTTTAGGGAAAAATAAGTAAATACCCCGTAAAAGTAAAATAATTACAAACATATATTTCTTTACATTCATACCCACTAAATAATTACAATATATACCCCTTACTAATTTCGTTTAACTGATACTACAATATCATATATTGTATTGGTATCATTAAGGTGAATAATTTCGCTTAACTGATAATCAGTATCATATACTATATTGGTATCATTAAGACTGATAATTTCGCTGAATTGATATTCAATCAATATATAACTCACATAAATCTCATAGTGTAAAGAGTAAATTACATTTTATCCCTACTCTTTTTCTAATTACAATAATCCTTTGAAATTTGTACCTTCTGGATATATAAGTCACCATCCGGATACATTTAGTATAAATTCGAATTTACGTATCATGTCTAAAAAATTAGTGCATGATACATTATTATTTATGTAACTTATTTTGTTTGAGAGCAGAATCCATATATATCAGGAATTTGTAGATGAGAAGGCTTATACATGATAAATGATACATTTGGTAGAATTTTTGTATCAAGTATCAATACTAATTAAGGTTATGTATCAAAACTAATATTTGAACACGATACATTGTGCATGATATAATTGTAATGTATCATAATGTTAAAACGAAGGCAGTATACATTAGTTTAAGAAACAAAATCAACTAAATACATTAAAAATCTGAACCTATATTTATCAGAAAAGATGAACAACCAAAAAATCAAGAAAAAAAAAGTCAACAATCTAATCAACGGAAAGCAACGAAAATGTATCCTTCTCGAACTAATTGGGTAAGCCCAATATTGAAAGATCGAACCAACGGGGTGAAGTGTATCAAGACCGCCACTAGAAATTTCTGGAACAATTTCAAATACACTTCAAAATGAACTCTCTGCATTAGCAACGTTTTTCACCCATCTTCAAGTAAAGAGACTGAGAATTATGTCATAAGATTGATGATCAATAAACAGATGAAAAACTTACAACAACAAGCTTATTTTGGCATTATGTTAGCAATTACAGTTACATGCCCATATCTCCTCGTCACATATGTGTTTAGGAGATCAATTTGTCTATGGTTAATCAATCACAATTATTTATTTATTTTTTAATTTTTAAGATGAAAAAGCTATTATTATTTTTAAATAAATTAAAAATTGAAGTGATGGAAAGAAATCTACCTCTTGAATAACTTGAAATCATTAATTGGAAAGAGAAAAGATTTGAAATTCAAAAGTGGATTAATGTAGGTAACTGTAAAGAGATTTGTGGCTTGAAAAAAGGAAAGAAAATCATGGGTATGAGATTTCAAATTAATGTATCCGGAAAAGGGGATGATGGGAGCAAAAGAGGGGGATTTTTTGATATTTTTTGAAATGGTAGGGAAAATAAGAAAATATGATAATAAATGGTGTGTAGTTAGGTAATATTTCCTATATATATTGTATTAGTATCATTAAGGTTTCTTGTTAAGAAATTACTCATTAGACAATGATATTATAAGAGTATATATATACTCTTATAGTATTATTGACTAATAAATAATTTTTGAACAAGAAACCTTAATGATATCATAATATATATATATACATATACACACACACACACTCTTATAGTATCATTGACTAATGAGTAATTTCTGAACAAGAAACATTAATGATGCCACAACAATATACATATATACTCTTATAGTATCATTGACTAATAAGTAATTTCTGAATAAGAAAACTTAATGATACCAATACGGTATATATATACTGATTTAGTATCAGTTGAGCGAAATTATTAACCTTAATGATATCAATACAGTATATGATACTGATTTAATATCAGTTAGGCGAAAATTATCACCCTTAATGAATGAGGGCTATGGACTGTAATTATTTATGAGAGAATGGATAATTCAGATTTACTTTGGATTTGGGTATGCACTTGTAATTATTTTGAATTTTATGGCCCATTTACGTAGTTTTCCCTTTTTGAGGGGCTTCACGTCTCTGTAATCCACCTCTATTTTATTTTTTATTCTCTATATTTGGAAAGTAAAATAGAGAATGCCTTTTTCAACTACCCTCTATAGCAGTCTTTGTTCTCCATTTATAGAGAAGTGAATAGTACTTCTCCAAATTTGGACTCTTTATTTTACCTTTTGATTATTTTATTATTATTTCTACTATATAATATTTGTAGTTAACATATTATAAATTATATAAGAACATTAATTAAATCTCTAATATTAATACCTTTTTAATGTAATATAACATTTTTAAAAATATATTATTTAATATATACTACTTTCATTCCAAATTAATAATATTTCAATTTTATTTTTATTTTCGACACTTTAAGTGATATGATTTAAAATTATTATTATTATTTCACTATGAAGATTGCACAAAATTTAAATGATAAGATGAAATTTTTAATTCTAAAATACAATACATAACATAATAATTCAAATACAAAATTGCTCATTTTGACCGTTGTAACGCATTAGTAAAGCATTTATGGGAGTAACGTAATAATCTTGAAGATTAAGTATTTATGTAATGTTTATGTATTATATATTTCAATAATGATTTCACTTTTATTTGAATTGTCTATTAATATGTACTATAATATATGATATTTAGTTGCAATTTATGTTATTTAAAAATTTAGAATAAAATTTTATATTACATGAAGATTATATAGGGTATTATTTGGAAAAAAAAGAAGAAAATATTTATATTATTAAATAAGAAAATTAAAAAATGAAATAGAAATAAAGGGAAATGATAGTTATAGACACTGTGTTATTATCATATTATGGTTTTGATCCTTGTATTATTAGCCTAAATATATTTAACCTTTAATTAAATAAAATGTGTAATTTTAATTCTTATACCTAACTTGATGTTAACATCGTTAACTTTTGGCTCTTTTTTTAAAATTATTTTTAAACAGTATTCTGTTGCCATCATTTAATTTTTTAAATTTTCTACGATAATACTTTTTTTAAAAATGAACACATGTTTTTTTAAAACAATTTGCAAACATTTCGAAACAAGAACAAATGGCAAAGTTGTGATTCAATTATTAGAATATATCCATGGCCTCAGAATAACAAAATTGTGTTGTCCTTGCATTGGTTGTCATTAACATCATGATATGAATATTCGAGCTTAGGGTATGTAGAAAATTTTATTGGGAGCGCTATCCTTAAATGAGTCATATAGTGCGGGACTCAAATTTAGTCAGAGCTCCAACACCAGCATGGATATCGGGTAAAAAATAAAAAAAAATGAATATTAAATCCACTAATTGTAGATGTTTTGTGATTTTATTTCTTTTTGTTTTGTTCACCTACTTATATTTGAGTGTTTGTTTTAAACTATTTGTAGATTAGAATAAAAGAGACGTAAAGAATAAATTTGGTAATATCACTTTGATTTTTTTTATTATTTCAGTTTTGATCAAATTTTTTATTTCTTAAATATATCAAAAGTTAATGGTGTTAAATTTAAGTTAGGTATAAGGACTAAAATTACACACTTTATATAATTAAATGTTAAATGTACTTAGTTTAATAATATAAGGACCATAATCACAATTAGCTAATAATACAGGAACTAAAACTATCATTTCCGCTAAAAATAATAATATAATGTTGAAGAGAGGGAAGAAGATTCATTTTTAGAGGGCGAAATGGTCTGATGGACCCTTATACTTGTATCAGTTTGTATTGTAAACCCTTCTACTTATTCATTTGTCATCTAAACCCCTGAATTCATCGAAAACACAACATTTTAAACACTATTTTTGACTTGGCATCCTATGTGGCAGCTGATATCATAGAGCGTATGATACACGTCTATTAGGAGCGTAAGACCCATGAGAATGGGTCTAAAAGTCACATTAGGGCTTTTATAAAGCCACCATCTTCTCATTTGCATCTAACACCATTGTTGGACAAAATTTGAGGTTTTTTTGGCTTCTTTTTCGATCTTCTATCCCCATATTTTTCTTCTCTGTTTTTTTTCGTCATTACACTGCTCTCTTTATCATGCATTTTCACTTACTTTTTTTCTTTAATAATGGTTGATCTTGTTGCATTCTTCTTCATCACCATGAAAATTCATTTTTATTAGAATCCTATAATCTAATCGAAATCATAAAACACACCTTTGAAGGCATAACACTACTACAAAAACATCTTACACTAACGATAGGCACAAAACAAAGTGAAATTCCAAAAAAAATTCAACAAAATCAATGTAATCCACAAAAACCCAAAATCAAACAAAGACACAAATAGAAGATGAAATCCAGATTAAACGATAAATAAATTGAAAAACCTACATTGATAAGTTGAAAATCAAACAAAACCAACAAAAAAAACTCAAATAATTTTCCGCATTGACCCAGTTATCTACCACCCAAATGACCCCTGTTTCAGTCCTAAACAAAACCCAACCTCACTACCTTCTTCTCCTCCGCCACATCTTCTCCAATCAGACCACTTCTGTGCTCACCATCTCAAACAAGCTTCAACCGGCAACTATAATTGAGAGCCAACAACAACAACAACAAAAAACCCCAAACCAACTCCACCAATAAACCTCGACCTTTACAACGCCGCCAGCCCTAAACTCCGGCGAGAATTGTGAACAACCAGACCACCCAACAGATCCCCACTCTTCCTTAATGCTATCAGTCACCATTTAAATTGCAACCCAATAGAATCCAAAATCAACTTCGAGCTCCAAGGAGATTGTGAACAAGCATAAATCATTTCGACATTTTTTCTTCATTGAAAATAGTAGAAGAGGTTGAGAAAGAAAAAATGCAAGGAAGATGAGAGAGAGAAATGGAAAGAGATTGTGATTTGTGGGAGTGGGAATAGCTATGGCAGAGGCAAATAAAAATTGAA